GATTACTTTATCTTAACTCATTGTCATGGATCGAAATCTCCAATCGTAAATTAAAATGGTGTTTCTTCTCCTCCGTTAATCTCCTCACTGCCATCTCTTTTATTTGTCAAACTGAGCCGCCGCTGAAAATTGACATAGTTAACTATGTTCGAAAATAAGTAACTATATTCACTACAATAGTTAACTATGTATGTTATTTTTTCACTATAATAGGTAACTATGTTTATGATAATAGTTAATTATATATGTTATTTTTTCCATTATGCTATAATAAGTATATATAAATTTTCTTTGGGTAGCCATTTTGTCTCTCCACGGTAGAGTTTTCATATACGGAGGCTCGGTCAGCTTCGGTAGGTTTGTGAAAGATTTTGGTCATGAATGCTGGATGGAACCAACCGAAGTGGAAGAGATCATTTGGGGTCAAAAAGAAAGAGGGATGTCCAAAAAAAGAAGAGGGATTCAAAAGAAAAATCTACCAAGGACGATGATGTAGTTCACTGTATAACTACTTCAAGGAAAATTACGACGAAAGAAAAAAAAGAGATCTTTAGAACAGCCATGCTAGGCTCTATGTCATAAAACTTTAGATCCTCTACATGGTCTATCTATTTTTTTTATCAAACCAAACTTTTCAATTCAACTGAAAACATCATTACACATAATAAGCAAGCAGAAAGTGAAGTGCTCTCTTTTGCCAAAGTATCTGCAATCGACAGTCGAAGAGAAGGCTTTTCAGCTCATTTATCACATCTCTGGTAGAGAAAAGAACGACAAGAGATTGAGAGTCTGAGAAAACATAAAGTTCTCTGAACTCCGAAGATATAGCTGCGGAAATTGCTGAGTAATTTCAAGTAAAAGTGTAAACTCTAGTGCCATTTTTAGATCGATTATTAGCGGGTAATATTTATTAGAAAAAGGTAACATCAAGCCGCCCAATTAATCGGACGATCAAATCCGAACTTTTTGTTGGCTTTACGGAGAAGAGTTTTAAACATGGCTGGTTCAAGTAAAATATTGTATCTCTAATCTCTGATTAATCTTTTGGTTTTCTCTGACTTACACTGCAAGAAACCCTTTTGGTGCTGAAGTTTCTATCCTCGTTCCTTGTAATTGAAGAAAATAGATAAACATCTTTTTGGATATTATGGTTAATATTATTAGGCGATTTTTTCTTCGTTTTGACTGGTATTGGAAAGTGTCAAACTTTGAAAATGTCGATATCCCAAATTTTCGTTTTATTGGGGGCACAATAAATCGATGGTGTATGTAAGCCAATTTTTTCTGATAACTTTCAAAAAAATACTACCAAAGAGAAGTTCTACACTCCAAAGCAATGTGGTATTTCATTTTTTTTTGCTAACCAAAGCAATGTGGTTGAAATGCGTTTTTTAGTGGTCACAATTTTCGTCACGTTCCATTTATGTTTCCGGGCTTAAATTACTGTTTCAATGGATACTAGAATTTTGTTTTACGTAGGAATGCATTCACATTTCTGCTTGCCATC